TAGGAATCTTGCCCACAGCTGTCCCTAGGTGGCTCAAAACCCAAGCCTTCGGGTTAACAACCAGATACATAGACCCACTGCACCATGAGGCTTAAATAACAGTAAATCTTCATCATCATCATGGATGTGTAAATGGCCTTTGTTTCACTTACTTCAAAAATACACATTTTTTTAAAAAAATACTCATGGATTTTAATTTAAATCAACAATGAGTCAATTCAAGCATTATTTATACAAGCCCTGCTGTATCATTCTAATGGCCCTTCTGGTCCATCATCCTGTTCAACTAGCCCAGCCTCCTAAACAAATGGATGCCTCTGGGAAGCCTGCAAAGAGGACATGAGTGCAACAGCACTCTTCCTGCTTGTGATCCCCAGAAACCAGTATTCAGAGACATGCTTGCCCCAACACTGGAAGGTGAGCATACCCACTATGGCTAGTAGCCATTTAGGGGGTGTGGGTGGTGCTGTGGTCTAAACCACTAAGCCTCTTGGACTTGCTGATCAGAAGGTCAGCGGTTTGAATGCCCGGGACAGGGTGAGCTCCTGTTGCTCTGTCCCAGCTCCTGCCAACCTAGCAGTTCAAAAGCATACCAGTGCAAGTAGATAAATAGGTACTGGTAAACGGCGTTTCCATGCACTTTGGTTTCCGTCATGGTGTTCTGTTGCTCCAGAAGCGGTTTAGTCATGCTGGTCACATGACCTAGAAAGCTGTCTGTGGACAAGCGCCAGCTCCCTCGGCCTGAAAGTGAGATGAGCGCCGCAACCCCAGAGTCGCCTTTGACTGGACTTAACCATCCAGGGGTCCTTAACTTTTTTCCCTTTAGTCATTTATAGCCTAATTCTCCATGAATGTGTCTAGCTGCATCTTGCAGGAGGGAATATAATACTTTAACTATGTACTGTGTGAAGTATTTCCTTTGGTCTGCCCTGAATCTTCTGAAACCTCATTAAAAAAGATTTGGAAATATGGGGGAAGGTGAAACTATCATTTTTAGGAAGCATTTCAGCCTTAAAGATGAATATCTTACATTTGTTCTTGTTCCAAACAATACCAGTAACAAATAGCACTAGCTGCTTTAGGGAATGGCAAAGAGATATTTCAAGAGTTGTCTGCCGGCGGGGGGGGGGGAGTGAAGAATAAAGTATAAAATTTTGATAGATACTAAAGACAGAGGTGGCTTTGCACTGCCAGACTTTCGATCGTATTATGAGGCAGCCTGCTGAACCTTCTGAAACTCTGCTTCATTAGATGCCACAGAGATCTAGTGTTATGGGGGGGGCACCCCTCTATACACTTTCTCCCATCATGGTTACTTTTTTTACTCCTCTATCATGTCTCTCCTCCCGCCACACAACTACTTACACATTTTATAAATGAAAGAGCTCCAGATGTTATAACTGTTGTGCATAAGAGAGTTGCTCCAACCCCTTGCTGCCTCCCTTTAAAAAATCTTTTCAGTACAATAATGGTAGAGGGCCTTGCCATCATGGCTAGTAGCAACCCACAGCCTTTCCCTCCATGAAAATGTCTACCTCTCCCCACTAAAGCTGCCCTGGCTGCTGACTATTATGGGAGCAAATTCCATTGTTTCACAGTGTGGAAGCTGAGTAGAAAAAACTTTGTCCTACCCACTTATTTCACAACATGCATAACCTTACACATGTACTTTGCGTGCCCCCCCCCCAGCCAGTGTGGACTGCTCCATTAGTGTGAATGAGGCACTGGCCCAGCAAGCTCAGTCTGCCCTCAGCCAGCCAGCCTCCTTCCTTAAACCAACCAGGGGGGTGACTCTATCACTGTTAGTCCCCCTGCCCTACTAGTCCCAAGGGGCACCATCCACCTCTGTTCCAAATAGTGTGCATTTCAAGAATGTTTGCACTGTCTCCTAGTCCGCTGCATTTTGCTCTTTCAGGGCTCATTACAAACTGATTCTATGCCACAGCCATATTGATAAAGATAAAACAAAACAAAAACACTTTATATGTGTTATAACCCTGTGACACCAGATGGTGCTGTGGTTCTCCGTCTTTCACCAACGGGATTTCCCTTCATGAAGTCTACAACGTGTTTAACTGAATCGCTTTTTTGATGTGTCTGGATCTAGCCTCTGTTTCTTAAGATGATGGTATCCTTTCCAAACATCATGGAGGGAAATCCTGAGTTTGATTTATAAAGAGGTTTCTGCATTGCTGGAGTTGTTTAAATCAACCACCACCACCTCCCAAGACTAAAAATGTGTTCAATCACATTAACTGCTGAAGCTATATTGTCACATTTGTCCCAAAGCCAGGATGGACACACTGCATTTATTTCCTATATGCCTATCTTGACACCACATTTCTGTCAGTCTGTTCTGTTGGTGTACTTGGCCAAATTGGAGTACTGCTCTAGTACACGTTGTAATGAGTGGTCTTTGCTAGAAAGCCAGAACTTGCAGAGAAATGTGTTGTTAAGTTGGCAGACTGTATCAGAGTGAGAAAAATATGAGGAAGTGCCCATGATGTGATACCAGCATTCCAGGGGAAAGGTAGTTCACACTAGCATTTCTCCATCTGACACATTGATTCAAAGGATCCACTTTGGGAGCATGAAGTGATTTGTACTATAGTTCCTACAAAGACATGCTGTACACAGGGAATGGTGCAGAAGTGGCTGGTTTGGGGGGAAACCTCAAAAGCTACATTTCAATATCTGAAGTTGCAGCTGGCTGATTTTACCACCACCCTGCCCTGCCCTGGCAAGCTGCAGTGGCAGCTGGCAAAATAACAAAGCAGTGACACTCAACCTCATATGCTATGTCTGCTGGGAAAAGGCAAGGAACCACACCAAACGTGTTGTTTGTTTGTTTGTTTGTTTTTAAAGACTCAGTCTGCTCTTAACCTTTGTGAGAGCAAGCTGCTTACTTGGAACTGTCCATGGTCCTGCAACTTCTGGGCTGCCTTCCTCTTAGGATTCTGATATCAGATGCAGAATCTTAGAGTAGGAAGTGACCGCAAGGGTCATCTAGGCCAATGCTTAGCAATGCATATTGCAATCTTTTGCCCAATGTGGGGCTTGAATCCACGACCCTGAAATTAAGAGTCTCATGCTCTACAGACTGAGCATGAACAAGGCAATTACCAAGTTATGCCAATAAACTCACTACTCACAGGTTGTTGGCGGATGTGTTTTATTTGTTAGCTTTTAATAAAAGGAAGAGCTATTCCTTGATACCAGCTGCTGCATAAAGAATCCCCAGAGAAGTGTTGTGGTAGAACTGAAAAAATCATTCCTCCTTTCTTTTTATTAAAGGAATTTTTGAACCCATTTTGCTCCAGGCTGGAATGAGGAAGATAGAAGGCATGAGAATGGAATTAATAACAACAAGAAGGATTACAAATTATTCTGCAGAAAGAAAAATGCAAGTTTTGCCACTTTAGACACATACAAGAATGCATTTCTGCACACAGTTATCTGAGAGTAGTGCCTTCGGAGGGCCACTTTCAGGTAGTAGATGGGGCCAGAAACAAAAGTGGGCAGAGGGGGGAAAAAAGTGAATGTTACCTTTGTCTACTAGTCTAAACGTACTCATGCACCCATCTCTGTTCTCCACCCAGACAAGCAAGAAGCATGCCAGGTACAGGCAGGAGTCTGAAGGGTGAGCAGAGGAGCCAGGGGACCAGGAGGATGATCAAGGGGAACAGGCTAGTGATTTGTGGGGTTCTGTACCACCCATGTGGCAGAGGGAAGAAGAAGAGTCAGAAATGGGAGAAAAGGAGGCAGGGAAGAGGTACAGGAAGGCACAGAGACAGATGCAGAGAGAGCTAGGCCATTAGAATCTCCTCTGCTTCTTCCCTTGCTGTCTCCAAGGACAAGGAGGGGTTTAAAGGGACAGGAGGTCACCAGCTGCTGGCATCACAACAGTGGGTAGTATGTGTGCTGAAAGGGGCATGTTTGCATAGTTGTTCCAGATATCTGGGTCAGAGCACAAGCCTGAAGAAGGAGATGCCTCACTAGCTATTTAGCAGGAGCAGTGCATATATTTTTTGCACCTTAGAAGCTGATGTAGTTGAGTGCTTTGACACTAAAGAACCAAACGTCCAATCACATGTCCTAATTGTGGGTTGTGTATGCTTGGGACAAGGCATTATCAGAGTTCAAGGATATAGTCTAGCCAGGCAAAATGACTTAAGGAGGGTACACAGCAGCACAGTTGCGGCGTGTGGCTTAGGGAAAATCCTGAGGGCCAGATGGAGAGGCTGAGGGGATGTGCGCACATTACAATTTCAGGCTTAAGGTTCTCAATCCCTTCATTGCATCCATAGAAACAAACTCCTGTTTCTGCCATTTCATTTTGGAGTGTCTCTCTGAGGAAACTTCTATATAACTAAGCTATTTCACAAGAATGTCAGATGTAAGGATGAGCAAGATAGGTAGGATTCTACTAGTTTGCTCAGTATGAATACATTTGCTCCTGTTTTCTAAAGCTTCTGCCAATGAGCACTTGTAATTTACAAGCAATGTTGCAGCTTTTTAAACTTTAGACTACCTGTATTGAAGTTCTGAGTCGGGACATGGGTGGCGCTGTGGGTAAAACCTCAGCGCCTAGGACTTGCTGATCGCATGGTCAGCGGTTCGAATCCCCACGGTGGGGTGCGCTCCTGTCGTTCGGTCCCAGCGCCTGCCAACCTAGCAGTTCGAAAGCACCCCCGGGTGCAAGTAGATAAATAGGGACAGCTTACCAGCGGGAAGGTAAACGGCATTCCGTGTGCTGCGCTGGCTCGCCAGAGCAGCTTTGTCACGCTGGCCACGTGACCTGGAAGTGTCTGCGGACAGCGCTGGCTCCCGGCCTATAGAGTGAGATGAGCGCACAACCCAAGAGTCTGGCAAGACTGGCCCTTATGGGCAGGAGTACCTTTACCTTTTTTTTTTATTGAAGTTCTGATTGTGGTGCACCCAATATTCCCTCTTCCCTATGGTATAATATTTGACTGCCTTACACCAACTATTTGACCTCATTACACCAACATTTCTGACTTATGTTTTGAAGAAAAAGAGAAACAACTTACTAGGCGTGCAGCTTTCACCTCCTCCAGAGATCCTGTTGGAATTGTGGTGAAGAAAGATTTGTGCACCGCTGTGTGTTTCTCAGTATCTTTGGGAGAAGTGGTGGGTGATTTGAGTGGTGTTTTCTCAGGCGTTGGGCGAGGCAAGCTGCTGTCAGCTGTAGGTGACATTTCCTCACTTCTGAAATGAGTAGTGGCAACATTTTGGGATGGTGTACTTGCTCTGGCAAAAATACGTGCCCGCTTCTGAGATCTGAGAGAGGTAGTGAGAGCAGAAGCTGCCTCTGTGTTCAATTGATCTTCTGGTGGTGGCGGCAAATTTCTGGGTGGTGATCTGGGCGCCGAATCAGGAGGCACCATGCCAGGTGGTGATGTGGGCACTGTTTTCTCCAATGCCGGCTGAGATGTCAGAGATGGAATTTCTTGATCTCCAGAATTAGTAGTGTGAGACTCAGGAAAAGGTGTTTCTGAAGCTGCAACAGTGGAAACTTTGCCTTCTTCTTTTCCCTTTCCAAAACGTTTCCCGGCAACATTTAGTGGTGGCTTAAAAGCTCTGGCAAACAGAGGTGTGCGCCTCTGAGATCTGAGTGATGTGGTAGGTGCAGAAGTCAGCTCTGTTTCATCAGTGGCTGATGTTCTCTCAGAGGTTGGACTGTCATTAGTCACAGGTGAAATTTCCTTACTTCTAAAATGAGTCATTGAATGCTTTGGAGGAGGCTTGGTGCTGTTTATCTCTTGTGGTGTATGGATGGAAACAGTTTTTCCAGGCTGCATTTTTTCCACTGATGATTTCAAAATCCCTTTGGGTGATTTTGACTGTTCCCCATCATCACTTGGTGATGGTGCAGCAGATGTTTGAGGGGTTATGTCTGATGGAGATACCATCAGTGTGGTATCTTTCTTATCTTTGATTCTTTTCCTAGGTTTAGTTGCTGAAGGGGAAATGGGTGGTGGTGATTTTGGTGGTGGTGGTGGTGATGATGGCGATTCCACAGTGGTCTGGGGTGATACACTGCTATGGTGTGATTTTTCTTCATTTTCAGGTGTAACTGTTATATTATCAGCTGCATCTACCTTGGTATGATCACCTGCATGTTCCTTAGTGTCTGATGCAGGGGCCTTCTTTTTCTTCCAACAAGGCAACTTGTGCCAGAATTTCTTTTTCTCCTCTGACTTGTTTGGATCTGCTTTCTCGGAGTTCTCTAAGGCTTGGTTCTGGCTTGGTTCTAGAGATGGTTCTAGAGATGATTCATCAGATTCACCTGGAGCAATTGGCTTGGGTGGTTCAGTGGTGGGGATCTTAAAGTCTACTTGCACATGTGCAGGTGCTAGTGGTACTTTAACTTGCTGAAAGGCAACAATCAAATTGCATGTTAGTAATTGTGACATAGAGAGAGTGGGATTGAGATAAGGAGAGAATCCATGGACAGCTGCAGACCCTCCAACTCTCTCATACCAAATATCTCTTGTTCCACGGCCACGTTCACACCTCCTTCATTTCTCATGGTAGAAAACTCTACTCTAGCTGTACAAAGCTATACTGCATTCATTAATTTGCAGTGGCACACCTGGGGCTTCAAGAAAACCAAGATGTTCATTCTTTTGTTTTTTTGGCTAAAGATATGCTTCAAAAAACCTCTCGTAACTGCTGTACAATCTGTTATAAAAATGAGCTTCATCAGCATGAGAAGTGGCAGACAGTGCAGAACAAGGCACCTTACTGCCTATGGGTGTGCATCAGTACAGATGTACATTAGGGGCAAGATGCACCCATCTCCACAACTTAGAGATTTAACTTCCATAGATCAGGGGTACAGGGATTTAACCAGTTTTTATCTAGCAAATCACACAAACAATATTTTAACAAAGCATCCCCAAAAGCCAGTGTTATATCAGTGGAAGGGGAGAACGAGAGCTGTCCTTAGAGAATTGGCACAGTTGACATGTGTGTGATGTATAAATCTGGCAGCAAGGTTGGTAATCTCATGTGACTTGGACCCACACAAGAGGAACTATAGGGAAGGAGGAAGACTTTCATATATTGGAGGCCCAAGGAAGAATTTTTGGCTCTGGACTTTTTGATTGTAATACACACTGTATGTGTTGCTTCACTTAGTTCAAAATGTGGCAAGTTACCCTTCTGGTGTCCTCTTCACCAGCTTGGATCTTTGTTGAGTTTCTCCAACATGGAAGGCCATTGCTAAGGGTTGAAAGGATGCACACAACCCATCTGGGCTTATATAATGTGAGTGTAGTTTTAATTGTAATCATTTTTATACAGCTACTGTGGACTACAATGCCCACAATGCAGTGCATTCTCACAAAAAAGCACATGTCAAAACATCCAGTCTGCAGAATATGAAATATATACATTGAAATGTCACAGGCCAGGTGGATTTTCTATTGAACTTCCTGGCTCTGTAAGCAAATTTCACCATGCTATTCTGTTGGCAGTTTTGTACCTTTCAGGGTTTTTTGTAGATCACTGCCTTAATGGCTGGGGACCTTTGGCCCTTCAGGTCCTGCTCCTATCAGTCTTAGCCAGCATGGTCAGTGGTCATGGATGACAGGAGTTGTAGTCCAACAACATCCATAAGAGCAAAGGTTCCTCAACTATGTTGTAGCAGATATGACACATACCCATATGGCTTTGACAACATCTAAAATACTTGAATACTAAACTAAACTAAAATAGAGTCTTGTCTTTATTGATTTCAATGCATTTCCCCCTCCTAATATTTCACTTTATTAAAAATTCTTGTCTTATTAATTGCCTGGAGGAATTCTGCTTACCTTTAAAGCAGAAGGCCTTGATCTTGCTTTGGTACCAGGTCGTACTGGCTTTGGAAAGTCCAGAGGAAAGCTTAGGCTGACTCGTGGCTTTAGTATGGCATTATAGCACTCGATATCTGAAATATAGATAGAAATAAGAAAGGCCTTTGAGGAAGGGGGGAACCCAACAACACAATGGTAAAGAGTGGTTTCTATGAATTCACCTATGAGTTCAGTTTTTAACAGAAGCTTAAAAGGACAGCATAAGAATAGCCCTACTAAATCAGGTCAATAGTGATCTCTAGACCACCAACTTGTTCTCACAGTGGCCAACTTATGTGGAGCCCAAAGGCAGGACCTGAGCACAGCAGCCCTCTCCCCACTTGTGAGGAACTAGCACTGTGAGCAACTGGCATTCAGAGGCATATTGCCTCCAACCGTGCAGGCGCAACATAGTCATAATGGCTAGTAGTGCCATTGGTAGCTTTCTCACCCTGAATTGTCTAATCCTCTATTGCAGTGTTTCTCAAACTTTCTTCTCTGGGCCACACTTTCTGAATAAGAGTTTGCTCATGCCGCACTGAATTTTTTATTGCTAAGAAATGCATTGGCAACAATTCCTAGCAGTGTTTTGATTTATAATGCAGAATACAGCTACTTTATAATATGATCATGGGACACCCAGAAAGCATAGAACAATGCAGCTAACATAAGAACAGGAACCATTCCCCAAATATTATTTATTTATCAGACTTACATATTCCGCCCTTCATCGCAAGATCTCAGGGCGGTTCACAAGATAAGAATGCAAGGTAAAGGCAAAAATAAATCATTAGTAATGAAAACAACAAAACAACCCCCTCTGGCCACCAGGCTCTCATGGGGAAGGTTATACACCTGTTCAGGTCTGTCTAGCAAGATATGATCTTTCAGGTTATATGTGTGTTTGGATGCATTGATCTGAGAGTCTGGCTCCACCTACTGCTGGGTTGAAACAGTTCTCTAACTTTGCTTTAAATCACATATTCACTGAATGCTGTGAGGAAATGCCAGATTCATTTCCCTAAACTGCAAGTGGGAAATAATAAACAGCTTGTTTCCATAAATCTTCACTGGGCTCCTGAGAATAAATACAAGTGCTGACAGTCAGCTGGAGATATTGGTAGGGTGGGCTGTGTGTCTTAATGAGTCTGGTCTCAATGCTGTTGGGCTACAACTTGCAGCAGCCCAAATCAGTGGGCTAATTTCCAGGGAAGATGGGAGATGTAGTCCAAAAGATCTGGAGGGCACTGGATTGGGGAATACAGTGGTACCTCGGGTTACATACGCTTCAGGTTACATACGTTTCAGGTTACAGACTCCGCTAACCCAGAAATATTACCTTGGCTTAAGAACTTTGCTTCAGGATGAGAACAGAAATCATGCTCCAGCGGTGCAGCTGCAGCAGGAGGCCCCATTAGCTAAAGTAGTGCTTCAGGTTAAGAACAGTTTCAGGTTAAGAACGGACCTCCGGAACGAATTAAGTACTTAACCCGAGGTACCACTGTAGTCAGAATTTCTCTACCACTCCCTCTCTATCCTACAAGATAACACAATAAGAACATTTCTTAAGTGTGTGCCCTGCCCTGCAAAGCAAACTCTCTGATGTTCACCTTCATACCTGGAATGTATTTTTCATAAAGTGGAGATCCTCTATATTTACTACAAGAGAAAAACAACAACAGAGAGAGGCATTGTCATATAGACTGTTTTACCAATTCTAAAGACATTATCCTTTTTTCAGTTTTAAAATATTATTATTATTAACAGGTACAAGGTAAAAAGGTTAAGGTAAAGGAGCCCTGGCCTGGACAGTTAAGTCCAGTGGAATTCAACTTTGGGATGTGGCACTCACCTCGCTTTCAGGCTGAGGGAGCCGGAGTTTGTCTACAGACGGCTTTCTGGGTTATGTGGCCAGCATGACTAAACCACTTCTGGTACACCAAGACAGAAGCCAGAGAGCATGGAAACGCCGTTTACCTTTCTGCTGCAGCGGTACCTATTTATCTACTTGCACTGGCATGCTTTTGAACTGCCATAAGTGTATGCCTTAGAACAGGCTTCCTCACCTCGGCCCTCCAGATGTTCTGAGACTACAATTCCCATCATCCCTGACCACTGGTCCTGCTAGCTAGGGATCATGGGAGTTGTAGGCCAAAAACATCTGGAGGGCCAAGGTTGAGGAAGCCTGCCTTAGAATGACCTTCATTTGGGAACTGAATAGATATAGAATGATTGAGTTATGTTCTTAAACAATAATATTGTTATAAATTATTTCTTATATCCCACTCATCTGACTGGGTTACCTCAGCCAATCTGAGTGACTTCCAACAAAATATAAAAGAACACAAGAAAACGTCAAACATTAAAAGCTTCCTGAAACAGGGCTACCTTCAGATGTCTATGAAAAGTCAAATAAATGAGTGCTTATCTCTACAAAGGTTCAGTGAGATCGTCTCTTTTCTGAAGTAGAAGTTTACGAATTCTGTCTGCCACCTCGACACCCCACCCCCGTCATCCTAATTATCTACCGTTTCAACACTCATCCTGGTAACCAAATCAGAAGTCAGGTGGGATTTATTCTAAAGACCTGGTTGTATGCAAAATCCCTTTGGATGCCTTGGAGCCTGCGGCAAGTGGAATAGAGAAGAAATTACTTATTTGGTGTACATATTCCAGAACATCAGTGTGTCTAGGCATGAGTCATTTAGATAAGTGAAAACAAAATAAGCACCTATTGGCCATTTGAAATGAAAATACAATTAAAGGCTGCAAGGTCTGGTTCATATTTACTACTGTGATACTATTAGCTGGAGAAATATTTAATAATGTTATGGTCATGCAATGAGGACAGATTTTCCCCCCTCTAGGCATTTGTTTAGCTGATAGTTAAAGCTGGGTTTTTTTTGGTTTTTTTTGTTTACGGAGCACTGATAGCTAGAAGAAGCTTTCTAAAATGGCCATTGATGATTGGTTACTGCTAGCTATCAAGCATGCCTCAATTGGTTGGGGCCTGGAACCCTGAGATTTATTTGTTTATTTGCAGCTGGCTGAAAGGAGGAGTTTCAACATGGTTTGCTTTTGTGGAACTGATACTATGATACAGATAAGCACCATCTATTCTGATAGCCACTCCCCCCGCCCCCCGCTCAACCTTATATTTGTAAATGGATATTACAAGGCAGCATAAGTCTCTTTTGCTCTCTCCTCAGGAGGAAATTAATCTGGTGCTTGAAACTTTGCTTCCATCTTCCCCCTTGCTAGTGGCAGCACTGAGACTGAGACGCTGACCCCTGACCCCCAGCTGTGCTGACAGCTGTTAGGAAACCCATATTCCCCTCACAGAGCTACATACAATCCCCAGAGTTTCCTGGGAAGAGGGACTGGCTGTTAAACCACTTGGCAAACTGTAGCCCTATGAGGGGAACAGGGGTCTCCTAACAACCCTCAGACCCTAACAAACTACAGTTCCCAGGATTCATTGGGGGAAGTCCATGATGACTTCAAGTGGTTACAGGGTGATGGGGCCTAATACATACCCTCCAACATTTCTCTGATGAAAATATAGACGTCCCATTCCATAATGATAATTTTGCTACTTATACTCCACACATCTTGTTGGGTTGCCCAGCACTCTGGGCAGCTTCCAACATATATAAAAGCATAAGAAAACATTTAAAAAAAACCCTTCACTATACAGAATTGCCTTCAGGGCTTGGATACTGTATCTCCAAACCCTCCAACATTTCTCCAATGAAAATCCTATGGGACATCCTAAGGAAAAGCAGGACATTCCGGGATCAAATCAGAAACCAAGATGGCTTCTCTAAATCAGGGACATCCCTGGAAAATAGGGACACTTGGAGGGTTTGCTAATATATAATGTATGCTGGCAAGGTTGCACTGTTAGATAGTTATAAAACAGCTGCAGGGAACTTCTTTCAATGCAAAGGAAACATTTTGTCATCATCAACCCTGCAGGTGACACATGCTGGTGGTGGGAATGACCAAAGGGAGCAACAAATGTGAATCTTGCCACTGTACAATAGGCTGCTTTCTTCACACTTACCGGCCTCTCTCTCTGTACCATCCAGGCAAGGAAGAGACAATATCAGAGTTCCAGGATGCATTCTAGCCAGGCAAAAATGCTCAAGGAGGGTATGAAGAAGGGGCAGTGAGGGGTGTGGCCTGAGGAGAGTCTCAAGGGCCAAATAGAAATGCTTGTAGGGCCACATTTGATCCCCCAGGCCTGAGGTTTCCCACCCCTGTAATAAAATACTAAACTTCCCATTTTCAGCTTCTCTTATTTCCACCGCATTCATCAGCATATTTTGTTTGGGTTGGGGAGCAAAGTTAGGATGGAGGATTACAACTCTGGTGGGACCACATAATTGATAGAAAGAGCTGAAGAATTATTTTTGTTACTTTCATAATTCTTCCCGCCCCCCCAAAAAAACCTTTGAAATGATTTTTCTCAACAGCTTTTAAAACATTTGAAAAGGCGCCTGTCTTTTTTTTCTCTTTTTGTGGCCTTGTTTCGTTTCTTCCCTTGTTAATTAAACCATTCATCCAAAACAGGCATGGAAGAGAAAGATCTAATTTATGGACCTAGCCCAGTGAAAAGAAACAAAGTTGAAGAATAAGCTGGACTGTTTAGAGGATTTATTACAACTGTGGTTGAAAGCCTTTTGAATAAGCTTGAGTGGGAGACCTGCAAAATGTGGCAACTTAATATTGCATCAAGGAGATGAGGGTAATGAGCTGGATCCTTGAAACAGAGGTAGGAGCAATTATTTGATTTGCAAAGCTTCCTCTGGCATACAGATGGTCCTATTCTGCATTACTAAGACCACAATAAGAGTATGCAGGATCAGGCCAGTGGCACATCTAGTCCAGCATGCTGCTCTCAATGGTGGCCAATCAGATGCTTGTTAGCATTGATTATGATAAATCGCATGGCCCTGGAAGGGTGGGGAGAAGTTTTGTGCAGGATTCACTTTTACTAATCGGCTGAAAATGTCGCATTTCAATAGCACTGGATAAAAACAGGGTGGAGAATTTCAGGTGCAACTATAGATCCAGTTGTGAGATGGATAGATAGATAGATGATAGATAGATAGATAGATAGATAGATAGATAGATAGATAGATATGATGAAAACTATGAAAGCAGCAATAACAATATTTCCAATCCACTCCCTTTAATATTAATATTGTTACTATTAATATAAACAAACCACAGTTCCTAGGGGCTTTTGAGGAAACCAATGACTGGTTCAAGTGGTATGAATGCTGCTTTGAATGCAATGTGCAGATAGGGGCCTCATTTTAAATGTGTGCCTGTTTATGAAGCTCATCTCCAACATCTGGCCCATGGGGTGATGCAGGTAATTCACTCCACCCTATGAGTCACCATTTTGTACCTGGCTCTGGTTCTGGTCTGCTCAAAAATAAAATAAAATAAAAATAAAAATCCCTGAAGTAGTTCCTGCAAAATCAGTTTTTCTGCCCGACCCTGAATGGATTGCAGGTGGGAGCAGGTTGCACATGAGTGCACATGCATTGCCTTTTAAATAAATAAATCTGGAAACTCCACTTGTCTCAATCCAGCATCACTTCTTTCTTAGGACAAATATTTCTATATCCAGTGCATAGATCAAAATGTGCAACATAATGGCTTTCCCAGTTCAAGGCAAACAAGCTGAGGAAGCTGAGTTCATATCCTTTGGGGCAGTGGTCATTGCTGCCTGTTGGGACTGGCAGGACAGAAGGCACGGAGGCCAACAGTAGGTGGCGCCAGAGTCAATGACAGCCAGAACCTCCCTATGACTTTCTGTAAGTAAAGGTGCAGATTGGGGGGTGGGCAGCAAACTGAATGTGATGGGGGAGAAGGAAATGATCCTGGAATTGCTTTGTGAATTTATGCCCTGTTAACAGCTGTAATTGGGGCTGATCATAACTTGGATTACCTGACATGCTGGTCTACCTCGGATGTCTGCTCTAAGTTCTTGGCTGGAAGGTGTTTGGCATTGGCTGGAACATTCTGGACATTGGCTGGAAGATGGTGAGTCTTGGCTGGAAGGTGGCGAGTATTAGCTGCCTCTGAATGAACTTTCTGGTTGTTTGCAGGTGTTTGACTGAAAAGACATTGAGAGAGGGTTAGGGATGTGCTTGCTAGCCCCAACCCCCTCAACATTCCCAGCAGCCTCAAGCATTGAGTAGAAGGTCCAGAGGAGGAGGATTTGCATGTGCATCTGAAAGAGAATCCACCCCGCAATTGATAATTCGCAATTGTGTGGGCTTTCCAGTCCTGGGGAGGAGTCCTTGCTTGTTGCACTCCTTACATACTTCTACACATTCAAACGGGGGGGGGGGCTCCAAATGCTGTTGGATTCCAACTCTCTCAGAAAGCATGGATGATAATCATGGATGATGGGGGCCGTTGCGCAAAAGCATTGGGAATGGGGCATTGCTCCTCCATCCTTGCACCAAAAAAGCAACAACAACCCAAAAACGTTGGTGCCCTACTGTCATGTGTGAAGCACCTTTTACTAGATCTATTACAGGGGTCAGCAAACTTTTTCATCAGGGGGCCGGTCCACTGTCCCTCACACCTTGTGGGGGGGCTGGACTATATTTTGAAAAAATAAATAAATGAAGGAATTCCTATGCCCCACAAATAACCCAGAGATGCATTTTAAATAAAAGCACAAATTCTACTCATGTAAAACCACCAGGCAGGCCCCACAAATAACCCAGAGATGCATTTTAAATAAAAGGACACATTCTACTCATGTAAAAACACGCTGATTCCTGGACTGCCCGCAGACCAGATTTAGAAGGCGACTGGGCCGGATACTTTGACAACAATTCAGGACCAGCTTTGCTCAAGAAAGGATGGTTGGTTTTGTTTTTTTAAATTATCTCCATTAGAGCCATTTTTCCTGACTACAGCGGTAACTCGGGTTACAGACGCTTCAGGTTACAGACTCCACTAACTCAGAAATATTGCCTTGGGTTAAGAACTTTGCTTCAGGATGAGAACAGAAATCGGGCGGTGGCGCAGCAGCAGCAGCGGGAGGCCCCATTAGCTAAAGTGGTGCTTCAGGTTAAGAACAGTTTCAGGTTAAGAACAGACCTCCAGAACGAATTAAGTTCTTAACCCGAGGTACCACTGTACTTCAGAGTGAGACAGCAAAGTTTCTTTCATTGGCCTGGCTGAGATCAAATACTATCTGGTTCTTCTCCTCCCATAAGTGCCTGCAGCAGCAACTACACTTGTAACAGTATGAAAGAGCTAGTACCTGACCTTTCTGATTTGCATCTTCCTTACCTCATTCTATTTTTTCTGTATCCTGACTCTTAGATGATAATCCACCCTGGTCCCATTAGCACTCTTCATTTAACACAGTAGCATACCACTTTAAACAGCTGGGCTTCCCCTGAAGACTCTTGGGGACTGTTGTTCTCAGAGTTGTTCACCAGTCAATTCCTCATCCCAGAGAACTCAGAGAACTTTAGCCGTGTGAAGGGAATAGGGGCCTCCTAACACCTCTTAGCATCCTTAGCAAATTACAGTTCCTAGGATTCTTTGGGGGAATGCATGATTGCTGAAAGTGGTATGATAATGCTTTAAATATATAGTACAGAAGAGACATATTATAAAGCATCAAGCTCCTGAATGTGTTAGCAGACAGGCAAACAATATCTCTTTCTATCTGTCTGTCTAGACAGGTGCATAGCGTGATAATGTTTAGTCAACTACTGAAGAAATTTTTGCTTAGGAAGGCTTTATCTGCAGTGCACCCAGTCACTTATGGAATATCAATTTTACATCTGATGATTTTTTTCTGGAGTTTGCTGGTATGCTTTCGTTGTTTTGAGAGCTTGTTGAATTGATTTTATTGCTTTTAGAGCTTGCATTTTTTGTGTTTTGTTCGATCATATATACTGCTTCAATGGCTTTATACAGTGGGAAAGTCTATAAATTTGCATAATTACCTACCCAAGGATTGGAAACATGGTGCCCTCCAGATGTTAGACTACAATTCCCATCAGCCTTAGTGGTAATTGCTGCCCATCGAGACTGACAGGGAGAAGGCACAAAGCCTAACAGTAGCTGGAACCAGAGTCTATGACAGTCAAAGTCACCCCTTGAACAAAGAGGAAGCAGGTGGAGGCAGAGCCCCATTCACCCAAATCTATTTAGCATGATTATTTTTTTAAAGCATGTGCAAAAGAACAGCCGTGAGAAGAGGCATGTGATCAGATTCAGGTCTAAGATCTGCAGACAGGAAGGGTAACCCTTCACCCACCGCTGTGGTGCTTCTGAAGTTTTACCTCCTGTAATTGCTACTTAATCCAGATGGGAAGCTGCCAATGGCATTGAAGGCAGCATTCTCTTAAGAGTGATTAGAGCTTTGGAGTGGAGAGGATTTTCACTGAGATTGCAACATGGGTGAAAGGGTTAACCCTCCTTCCTAGGCACTGTAGACCTGTTGCTGTAATTGTCATAGTTGTTCTTATTGTTGTTGTTAATCCAACCCTTCAAATGCATTCACATATTCGCTCCTTTCATTTACTCCTGCAGGCAGAAATGTGGAGATGGTAATGATCTTGGAGTTGTTTTGCGAGACTGTGCAAAACACCCTGTTAACAGCTGTGCCTGGGGCTGGAACATAACTTGGCTTACCTGACCTGCTGGTCTGCCTTGGGTGTCTGCTCTAAACTCTTGGCTGGAACCTTCTGGGCATTGGCTGGAATGTTCTGGGCATTGGCTGGAAGATGGTGAGTTTTGGCTGGAAGGTGGTGGGTACTGGCTCCCTCTGAACGGACTTTCCAGTTCCTTGCATGTCTTTGCCTGAAAAGACATTGAGAGAAGATTAGTGATGTGCATGCTAGTCCCCACCCATAACATTCTCATTGGCTACAGCTTCAGGTTTTGGTTTATGTGTTCATCTGAATGAGCTTAGAATCCTCCCCACAATTGGGAATCCCAATTGCATGGGCTTTCCAGTTGTGGGGAGGAGTCCCTGCATGTTCAATTGAACACCCAAATAATACTTTTTCAAACCCTCCAAGGACATAGTAACCAGGCCGATGCATACCTCTCTGTGCTCCTTACATCCACCTGTGCTCTTTGAACACCTAAACAGGCCTTATAATCTTACTTGTATACTGAACTGGGCACTATAAATGGGAATAATAAACTCCATGTGGACTGACACCTTGTCTAGATTTTATTGGTGTTTCCATGTAGAGGATTATCCACATTTCAGAATGATGCCTCGAAGTGCAAGATTATTTCACCTCACATGCTTGTTCCTTCTAGCCAGACCGGGGGAATTCATTTTTCTGTTTCAGGCATTTCCTTCCCTTTTTGTTGAAGATTCATATTGTGAAGTCATCCTGAAGAAGCCTGAGCAGGAGATGCTGCTGCTGATGTCATAAAGAGATAGAGAAAATGAATGAAGGGGAAGGTTGAGATTCCATTTGGTACAACCCAGATACCATGCTAAGAGGTAGTTCAAGTTAAATTTTACTTACACTCCTTTTTCCTTGTGACTCTTGGTCTTGATATTCTGTGGTGGTTTAGTAGAACATCTGTTGCAGCTCTCCAAAGGTTAACAGCACATTGCCTCAAGTCATGGGATCCTGCAGATGGGTTTTGGACCTGGGTGACTTGCTGCAAGCCTTAACTGTTGAATGACAGGAATAGGAAGTGCTTGGGTTACTGCCAAAAGGTTATGCTGTGCTACATAGGTGGATGGTCTCTGGCTGTTGTAGGAAAGTAATTGGCCTGATGGATCAGACAAAGTTCCTTCAGGTTCAATATCCTGTTTCCCATGGTGGCCATACAGATGCCTTAATGAAGGCAACTGCTGCCTCTCAAAGTCTGCTCACTCTACTGCAGAATACTCAGGAAGACCTAAGATTATCCCTTTCAGTCAGACAGCAGCTTGAATCACAGGTGCAGGTTGTGTTTGCTCCTACTGTTATAAAAGGGCTCAGTTTCAGCTTGTTCTTTGCTGGAGCAGCTCAATAGTTCTGTGTTCCTAGAATCCTGCCTGAACTTTGCTTTGACTTGTTTCCAGCCTAACTCCACCCAGCTTCACACTCAGTTTGATCCTTTCCTTGTGCTGTGCTGTAGAGCAGGACACCCGGTCCCACCTATGACTTTCACGTGCATTCCCTCAAGTTGCCAGCAGGCTCTCATCCCTATAAAATGTTCCTTGAAGAGAAGTGAGGGATTATGCCTAGCTCTGGTGCTGGAGTGCCTTTCTGGGGATTTGATTTGAGGTAGTAGCTTCATTTGTGGGAGCACTATTGTCCTGCTTTTTTTACTGCAGAGGAACCCACAGAACCAAGCCAAAAGATAGATTGGTGGTCACAGCACCATGGAGAGCTCCTAGTGAGCTATTTGTTCTGAAGGGGGTTAGAAGATAATTGAATTGGTTAGGACCTGAGTCAGAGATTACAGTCTGTGGAGGCTGGCTTACCAACTTTGATTCTTCTTCAGCCAGTTCCTGCCCCCCCCCCCGACTTAAAGGTAAAGCGACTCCTTACCATTAGGTCCAGTTGTGGACAACTCTGGGGTTGTGGCCTCATGTCACTTTACTGGCCGAGGGAGCCGGCATACAGCTTCTGGGTCATGTGGCCAGCATGACTAAGCCGCTTCTGGCTAACCAGAGCAGCACACAGAAACACCATTTACCTTCCCGCTGGAGTGGTACCTATTTATGTACTTGCACTGCGTGTATGCTGGTCCCGGGGGGGGGGGGTGTTACCATGAGGCCGGTCCTGGGCCAAGGGTCTGGAGACTGTCCACCAAGGGCAAAGCGGGATCCAAAGCAAGAAGCAGGGCGTGGTTGGGAACTCTGGAAAAACAGGTCTGGGTGCTGGCAGAAACAGGTTTCCAACATCGTTGCTCCCGCAACCTGGGACTGGGCTGACTGGCCTTTATCTCCTCTGAGGCCAGGGGCAGTCCCGGCCCACAGGTGACCCGCCTCTCCTGGCCTTAAAGCGAGCATTCCTCCTGAGAGAACCCAGTTCCCTCTGCCTCTCTGCCCTGAGCATCTGCAGCTCTGGAGAGGCTGGAGGGTTACTGGACCCAGGGGCAGCTTCACCTTCCCCTGACAGGGCTGGGAGAGGCGCACCTGCAGGCAATGGGTCCTCAATCACCTCTGGAGTCAGAGTGGATACATCTGGTGTCTGCTCCTGAGGATCCGGCGCAGGTGCAGGCCCTTCAGATTCAAGCCCCTGCCCCGGCTCAGCCGGCCCTGGAGGCGGGGACTCCTGTGCAGGCTGGGACTCCTCAGGTTCAGATTCTGAATCAGATTCCCAGGCCATCACAGCGTGCTTTCGAACTGCTAGGTGGGCAGGAGCAGGGACCAAGCAACAGGAGCTCACCCTGTCATTGCAGGGGATTCGAACCGCCGACCTTCTGATCGGCAAGTCCTAGGCTCTTTGGTTTAACCCACAGTGCCACCTGCGTCCCCCCTGACTTACTTCTAGTCAAAAGAGTGGGCCTGACTTTCATTTTCGCCTCCTTAGTCTCAATGTTGTCCTTGTATACCTTTGTAGGAAGGAGAATGAGGGCAAAATGAGAATTAGCTGGCTCAGTCCGCCATTGCCTCCACCTTCCATTGGCCTCTCTGCCTTCTGCTCTACCAGGCACCAGCAAACACTGGCTATAGTGTCACTGGTTACAGAGCCAGACCAGGTTTCTGGTTCTGATGTTGGTGATTAGAGGACCACTAACCCTGAGCCTGGCTTTTGAGCTTCTAACTTCAGGTCGCCTCTCATCATCTCCATCCCTCTTTGGACCCCTAGAGCCTCTTAAAAGGCCATCTCATTGGCCTAAAAATAGCAGTATTTGATGACCTCCTGGAAAGGTTGTGTGGGTGGTACTCAGTTCCCTGAGATCAGGGGAAGGTACCAATGAATGTCTTGGCTTTAGTTATTGGGGGTGTATCATCTGGTTCAGTGGGCTTCTCCTTGCTAACCTCAGGTTCAGTGGGTCCCTGACCACCAGCTTGACTCCTTACTGGGTGACACTGTGGCCTCTGACTAAGTGTATTGCCACTTCTGGACTCCAGGGTCATGACACCTATGCTGTCTGCCTCCATCTATACTCTACATGTGTATTTGTACACAAACCCAAATGTTACAAAACACCTTAAGTCTCCATTGACCTTTTCTCTCTAAGGAAGCCAAACATGGGCAAGCACTGCTGCTGGAAGTTCTAACTGCTCAAGGAAGGTGGGAGAGTATAGCACTATGGCTAATGGCAATAAGCCAGGTTCACACTGTGACTATAGATCCTGTCTTGTCCTTAAATCACTGCTTGAACAAATCACAGTTCCTTGAGGTTAGATATCATGTTTAGCTTAAACCCAGAAGTGGGAGCTTTCAAACCCTTTTCTGGCATGTGAAAGAAAAGGGAGGCATGTAGTGTATGAGCCCACAGTTCACGATGGCTTGTTCCTATACAAGGAAACCATGATGTCCCAATACGTGTGAAGTTGGCTGGGCTATCTCTGATTTGTGGTCACATTTTTGAGCAAATAATTATGAGTGTTGACATACTGCTTGCTGGAGGACAACATTTTGGGTCTTTCTTGACTTTATTATCTAAGATGTAGTGCAGCTTTTGCTTTTCTAGGTGGTCTCTTGACTCCCAATCACTTTTCCTCATCAGTGAAGAGTGGACCATCTACAGGTACAGGCATAACCAGCATGCCCCCAATGCGAACATAGTGACTTTTCAGAATTTCTTGTTTCTCATCCTTTATAAGAGCATCTATGGTAGTATCCTGTCTTCTTTCTTCAACAGCGACGGAAACCTTAAAATTAACAACAGAAGAAAAGAGGCTGTGATACATTCTTACACCAAGATTTACTTACAGAAAACAAAAGCCAGCTGACCTTCCTACTCCCACCCTCCCCATCTCCTTTTCCTGAGGTACAGTGGTACCTCAGGTTAAGAACTTAATTCATTCTGGAGGTCTGTTCTTAACCTGAAACTGTTCTTAACCTGAGGCACCACTTTAGCCAATCGCACCGTGCCGCCGTCGTGCAATTTCTGTTCTCCTGAAGCAAAGTTCTTAACCCGAGGTACTATTTCTGGCTTAGCAGAGCCTGTAACCTGAAGCGTCTGTAACCCGAGGTAGCACTGTATGTTATTTTTATTGATTTGTAAGCCACTCTGGGCCCAATCATTAGCTCATGAGTGTTAGGGTTAAATCCTGCTGTGTTGGCTGCATACAGCACATGGAACTATTGTTGCCAGCCAACATTAGCTGCCATTACCGATCAGGTGTCAGTTGATTGACAAGATGATGTTTGCAAAAACTGGAACCCCTGGCAAGCCAAAATTGGCCCTGGGTGCCGCACTGTTGCAATAAATTATAACACATACATAACATAATTCTTTAAACTTGTTTAAAACAAGTACGTAATCCAATGCAAAATTTCCTCTCACATCTGAAAATAAAACAGCTTTCTTCCTTGCTTCTGGTTTCTCATTTATCTGTGTCCCCTGCAGATCTCATACAAGGAGGCTAAAACTCTAAAACGGGCAACTCCAAGGGTTTGAAAATTGTACTTACGTATCCTTTGCGGGTGGCACTGTGGGTTAAACCACAGAGCCTAGGGCTTGCCGAAAAGAAGGTTGGTGGTTTGAATCCCTGCAATGGGGTGAGCTCCTGTTGCTCAGTCCCTGCTCCTGCCAACCTAGCAGTTCGAAAGCACGTCAAAGTGCAAGTAGATAAATAGGTACTGCTCCGGTGGGAAGGTAAACGGCGTTTCCATGTGCTGCTCTGGTTTCGCCAGAAGCAGCTTAGTCATGCTGGCTACACGACCTGGAAACTGTACGCCGGCTCCCTTGGCCAGTAAATCAAGATGAGCGCTGCAACCTCAGAGTCGTCCCCAACTGGACTTAACGGTTAGGGGTCCCTTTACCTTGATCCTTTGCAAATCTCTGATCCCACAAATTCACCACACAAATCTTGAACATATATCATTGTTCACTTACTTCAGTGAAAAACAACGGCTTTGTTTGTGGTCTTTGTAGAGGATGTGGAGGCTTTGGAAACAGAAGTTTGATCTTGATCAAGGACTTTGGAGGCAGCTCACCAAAAATGGAATCTAGGACTAAGAAATCATAGGAACATAACTAGGGAAATAAGTCTTTACAGATAGGTGAGCTCTGTGAGGCTGTGCCTTGCTGGAGAAACTCCCCTCCCACTTCAAAGAAGCCTGAATGTCATCAGAAGGCTGTTGGTTCAGGCTTGCAGAAGCTCTGAACAGGAACACACTTCTTTTGGAAAACACTACAACATTTAGTTGCAGCTTACGCCTGTTTTGTATAACAGCCATCTTGGTGGTCCCTCCTATCAGCAGAGCAAAGAGATGTAGTCAGTCAATGTAGT